TCCCGAACTTTTTTGTGCACCGCTTCTGCATTCAATAAATCATTAATTTAAAATCTCTCTAATTTGGATACTTTTTGCTCTCTTATTTTTTCAAAAATTGTAGCATTTTCGAGATGAATGCCAAAAATAATTTATTTGTAATAAAACTACTAACAAAACGTTTTGTCTGAAACATACGACACAAGATTCGCTAACAATGGAATGAAAAATAGACACAATCATGAATAAAACAATGCTAATTTTGTGCAAAATAGAAATGAACGGCGAATTTTACGTAAATTCAATGAGAACCCAGCTACAAGTACGAGATGGGCTGCGCTCACACTTGTAAGTTGTAAGGCAGAGAAAAAAAATTAAAAACAAATGAATTTCGATAAAACCTCTCACAGTAAATGCTCAAAATATGAACCGTTTTGTTCTATGCACATTTCAAACTGGCGTTGAATTGAACGTCTTGCGCTAATTAAATGTTGAACCCTTATATCCTGGCATGCATTTTTTATTCCAAGAACCAGTTCTTCTCTTGTTTGAACCGAGGTTTGGTAAACTTTCTCCGTCAGAAATCCCCAAACAAAAAAGTCTAAAGGAGTCAGGCCTGGCGACCGTGGAGGCCACCCAACCGGCCCCAGCCGACCAATCCATCTGTCTAGGTAATTATCATTTAGCCAGTTCCTTACATGTAATGAGCTGGAAAACCATCAAGTTGGTAAATATGGTGATCAAAATTGACCAAAGAAGATAATTTATTCAATATTCGTAGCAGAGCGCTTTCGACTGTTAAGTCATCATCAGTGCGTACCTGTAAGTAAGTAATCTGCTTTTAGCTATTGGAAAGAAATTGAAATTGAAAATTCGAAAAAAAAATTCGAAAAAATTTTTGAAAAAAATTTGTTTGGAAATTCGTTTGATATTGAAAATATAAAAAAATAAATTGGTGACTTGTTACTTTTTAATGAACTTTTGATTTGAAAAAGACATAATAATGAAATCGAAATTGGAAATTGTTAAATATGAATTTGGAAATTGATAAAAGTGAGGTTACTTACTTGTCAGGTTAACAGGGAAATTCGTCCATAAAAATATCTTTGGTCCAGTTTAAAACTAACGACATCAAGGTAAAATACGTTACAAACAAATTAAAATGTGTTTCCCAAAAGGGGGTAAAATATGGATTACATTTTGTTAAGCAGCCATTGTCGCTGCGACATGTCGTGTTGAAGTGAACTTGATGAGTGACGGACCTTGATTTAATTTATATGCATTGAACGTACTGAACTAATGGAGGCAAATTTGAAGTTGACATGCATGACATGACATGTGTCAAAGGAGAATCAAGAATGTTTATTATGAAATATTAGTGAAGATTTCATAATAAACATTCTTGATTTAGCTTTGACACATGTTATGTCTTGGATGTCATGTCATGGCTGCTTTACAAAATGTAATCCATATTTTACCCACTTTTGGGAAACACATTTTGATTTGTTTGTAACGTATTTTACCTTAATGTCGTTATTTTTAAATTGGACCAAAGATATTGTTATGGACGAATTTCTCTGTTAACCTGACGAGCAAGTAACCTCACTTTTATCAATTTCCAAATTCATATTTAACAATTTCGAATTACGATTTTATTATAATGTCTTTTTCAAATCAAAAGTTCATTAAAAATTAACAAGTCACCAATTTATTTTTTTATTTTTTCAATATTTAACAAACCTAAAAAAAATTTTTCAAAAATATTTTTTCAGACATTTTTTCGAATTTTCAATTTCTTTCCAATAGCTAAAAGCAGATTACTTACTTACAGGTACGCATTGATGATGACTTGACAGTCGAAAGCGCTCTGCTACGAATATTGAATAAATTATCTTGCAGGAAATACAAATCTTCCCTTCTTTCGTATATATTCACGTGCACACATCCCAGCAACCCTCACTAATCAAAATTGACACTGACATTGGGTGAACACAAAATGATGGAGTTTTCTTTAAATTGGTTTTGTAACATTCGGAGGAGAAATTATCTTTCACATGGCAGAAAAGAAGATTCAAAGCCGCGGAATTAGATGTTGTCCTTTTCTGCTTAATAAAACAAATAACTAGGTATATGTCTTTGAATAATAATTCATTGAAATAGTTTTCAATATGTTTATTAATATACAATACAATTTCATTTCCAGAACATTAACATTTGACATTGTACCTAGTACAATGCCTTATCAAGTGATTATCAGTATGTAGTTGAAAAAATATATTCTTCATTTTTTTCCCAATAAAATCGTACATAAACATTTTCAAACTCAATACAAATTAAAATGTGGACAAATAAGAAATTAAAATGCAAACAATGTGAATGCGTAAATAATTAAAATATCCTTATGGAATAACAATAATTGCCTCGCTTATCCAAATAATTATATGTAACTGTTCTCAACACGCAATATTTTGACATTCAAGAAAAAAAAACTCCAGACTGTAGGTACATTAAAATTATACATTCTTTCATCGTTTCCCAATTCTCGATAGTAGATGTGATAAGACATTAAGAGTAATACTGCATATACCAATATTTGAAAACTAAAATATATACAGAGTGTTTTCAGAATGTAGTATTTCAGAGGCTTATTTTCTAAGTCAAAAAGAGATTTTTTTCTCATAACCATGTGTTCGCAAATGATTTATTACAACTTTCGGGATTTCTTCAATTTTTCTTTATACCTCTTTCAATTTTCGTGATTATCAGATCTAATTTGAAGCTGGGTTACATTTCAGGATTCACATCATACAGCATATTAAGTGATTGTAAATAATCTAGATATTTTTCCAAGGGTCAAACCCATTATGGTTTAATAAACTTTTCTGTGGTCCACAGCTGGTGAATTTTGTGATAGGAAATGAATTCTTTGCCTTGTTCATAAACTTTCTTGTTTCACATAATTTGTGCGCATCTGTGACCGTTATCGAGAAAAAAAAACATTTTTAGTAGGTGATTCACTAGACATTTTCAATAAAAAAAAGTTTAGTTAAGGAAAAAGGGCTAGACCCCCGAAAACATAACTTTCTGTAGAATCTCACGATTACTTGGCATACCTACTATATGATATAAACCCTGAAACATATCAAATATTTCAAATTTCATATCAATATCTCGAAAACTGAAAGCTATTCGCGATAGAAAATATCACGTCGCTCCACCTGACGGCAACAACTTGAACACTTCTGAGCGGTTTGTTTTGATGATGTGACCAATAAGCACAAACAAAAAACAAATCTGAACCAATGAAAACAAAGTCAACAGGCCGCTTTGACAGCTTCCAAGAACTCCGATAGGTGGCGTACGCTTATTTTATATCGCGAATAAAAAAAATAAACAAAATCTTGAAAAACCAATGCCTTTGAATATCTGTGAAGAAGCGTTTGCGGACAAATGTTATGAAAAAAATATTATTTAGACCTGAAAAATGAGCCTTTGGAATTCTGATACTGAATTTTCACTGACAGACGATCTAGAGAAGCCGTCAATACAGCTCAAACATCAGTTTGTCTCTAGTGACACATTTTGGAAACTTTCTCAGAACGACACTTCAGGTCCCGACAATTTGAAATGTCAATATTAGTCCAAGATCTCGTGAACCTTTTATATTACACTGTGACTAAAGAAATTTTGATGTATCAAGTGACATGTTATACCACCCCATATAACTCTTTTATTTTTGACCAAAGAATAAAAAATAAAAACAGTTTTTTTTTTCCTTCTCGAATTATCAGATATATTTTCATTATCTGTCAAAATATACAGAGAAACAAATAGTGCATTATTTTTATTTTGAATACCCTATAATATATTTTCTCACCATTAGAAAGACCTTCTGAAGAGCTTCCCGAAAATACCACACCTATTATACAGGGTGATTCACATAAGAACCGACATAGAGCAGGGGCATGTAGGGGGTCCCAAAATATGGCAATTTAACGCAACTTACCTCTATACCAAGTTGCTTCCCTAAGGAGTTATATATAGGCTTTGGAAGTGAAGTTATAAATTTAAAAAAAAATCAATATCTCCGTTATTCTTGAACTTCAAGCAACCAAATTTGGTACACTTTGTGGATCTATTTAGGGCGTTACTTGACAGTAACTAGAGTTCGATAGAAATTTTTAAAGGGGGTATACCGGGTGACGCACCATTAATATTCAACATAATTTTGTTAACCCTTGATGGATTTCAAGAATCTTCGCTTTGTTTTGTGGGAAATTCAATTCTAAAACTTTTCTTAGTCCAGTAATTTCTCGAAAAACCTCATTATTTTCATCAAAAACTCGAATAACTGAAAACGCGTGCTCTAGGTGTGTTATTTAAAATCATCGGAAATTCAAAAGTTGGCTATGAAAATAAACGTCAAACTTGACAATGAAGCAAGTAAGTTGTTCAAATAAGTATTTTATCGATAAGCAATTGTTTGTTCTGGTTGTTGTTTAAGTTTTTTGTGTTTATTTTGGTTAGTTGTTAATCCCAGTTTTTCACATTTCAGTATCTGTCCTTACTTTACGTATTTTGTTACGTATCTAAATAATAATTTGCCAGCCAATTTCTACTGATCACAATAAATTACCTACTTTCTTGTTGTACGTTTATTTTCATAGCCAACTCTTGAATTTTCGATGATTTCAAATAACACACCTAGAGCGCGCGATTTCAGTTATTCGAGTTTTTGATGAAAATGATGAGGTTTTTCGAAAAATTACTGGACTAAGAAAAGTTTAAACAAAGCGAAGATTCTTGAAATCCATCAAGGGTTAACAAAATTATGTTGAATATTAATGGTGCGCCACCCGGTATACCCCCTTTAAAAATTTCTATCGAACTCTAGTTACTGTCAAGTAACGCCCTAAATACATCCACAAAGTGTTCCAACTTTGGTTGCTTTAAGTTCAAGAATAAAGGAGATATTGATTTTTTTCAAAATTTATAACCTCACTTTCAAAGCCTATAACTCCTTAGGGAAGCAACTTGGTATAGAGGTAAGTTGCGTTAAATTGCCATATTTTGGGACCTCCTACATGCCCCTGCTCTATGTCGGTTCTTATGTGAATCACCCTGTATTTATGTAAAAACTTCACCAACGATAAGATTTCCACAAAATTCTCAAACACACACACTTCAGTTCAATGTACCAGTATATCACCTGACGAAGCTGCTGTGTTAGCGAAAAATATGGTGTGTTTGAGAATTTTGTGGAAATCTTATCGTCTGTGAAGTTTTTACATTTGCCACCGATTTCTATCAAGTAACGGCCGAGTCAATTCAAAAAATATTATATTTATCTTCTGTATTTCTCAAAATATACAAAACTAACAGTTTGATCGATTTTGAATGATTTTCAAGAGTAGACCATGACAATGATTACAATTTTGATTTTCTGTGATCACCACCAATGATAATTAAATATCATAGGTAGCGAAATTTATTTATTTATTTCTTTATTTATTTATTATTACTCTGTTCTACAGGTCATACCCAACTACAGAACAGGAATAGAAGTCACTACTAATATAGAGATTTTTATAGTTTCAGAATTACAGAATCTTAACTAAAGTACAAAGACTTAATCGCTGAGATAAAACAATGAAAGCTGTCTAGCTGATTATCTGATGAGTTATTGTATTTCAAAATATTTGTACGTAATGTCGGGAGATAAAATGTATCGACCACTCTAGAGGTTGCCTAGAAACAGTGAAACTAAGCTTTTGGAAAACATATGAGTCACTGATAATATTATTAATTATTTTGAATAGAAACACTGTGTATTGACAACCCAGCACAGGTTTTTCATGGCATGTCTAGCTAGTAATTTATCATGTATCCATTAAAGAAGTTTTAGGAAACGCCGCTGAACTGATTCAACTTTCTCTATATATAGTATAGCGAATATACCTGTATTTGCAATCATTGTCATGACCTTCTCTTGAAGATCGCCCAAAAATCGATCAAACTCTGTTAGTTTGGATGCCCATAATTTGAGTATAATAGGAGATCATTATATTGAGTAGGGTATTTTTGGAGAACTCTTTGAACTCTTCAAATTCTCTAAAGTTCATACACTTTTTGCTGCTCCCAGTATAGTTTCTCATATAATGATTCAAGAAGAAGAATCCCCTGTAAAGCCGTTGTACATTTTTTTCTTCTGTGGAAAATGAAAGAGTTATAGAGGGTGGTACTTTATAACGGGTCCCCCGGTACATTATTCATTGCCATTATGTTATGGCTGATCAGTCATGAATATAAAATATAGTATATAATATAATCATTTACGATATACAAACGTTTTTCGACAACTGTGTTTAAATAGTATTCAGACAAATATTTTTGTTATTTCTTGATAAACTCCCCAAACTTAATGCTAACTTATAATTTTTGTACGCCTCTGCCTACTCAAAAGTTGAACTTTCACCAACACAAAAACGAATATCGCTACGGATCTGACTCTCACTGGAATTAGGATTATTAGGAATGAAAAACTGTTCAGAACTAGAAGCATTTTCATATTTTGAATTATCAAATTCCCAGATCTGATATTCACTACTTTGATCCCCCACTCTTCAGTTCTCACAGGTACAAATTCATCAAATCTTCAACTACATTTAGAATGCTGATTCATTTTCATTATGAAATTAGATTGGACCCATGTGTATTCGGTTCTACGCTTTAATAGTAATGGTTGTTAGCCTTAGAACAATTTGATGAACATAGTTAAAAAGTTCATAAAATGGGGTTGCCTATGAATAAATAAATATTTAAAAAATGAACACATACTACACGTCGACATCCTCATCATCACTGAACTGAACTATGCTTGTCACGGAGAACAGAGTGTACCTTGGTGGTTTCTTCCAGACAGCGCTAGAAGTTCTCTTCAATTTTCTAGGATCGATAATTTCGAATATTTCTTGTAAATCTGGCGTATGTGTTTTTCGACAGAAAAATGTGTTTTTCAATTTTTCTTGGGCAACAATCTGTACCATTTGCTTCTTTTCCAGTGCTTTTTCTGTGAATGAAAAAAAAAAAAGAGTGAATATTAGGAACCGCGAACGTGCAGTTCAAACATTAAACTAACTGGCAAATTTTCAATCATACTGTTCCTGTCAGCATGAATTGGTTTTAAATCTACTACTATAAGCTGTATTTCCCGTGTTTCTCAACCCCGCATAGGTTTCCACCTTTGGAAAGTTGATCTTTGATCAACTTTAAAGAAGTGATGTACGTATTTTTCACAAGATTATACCATAGAGATAAGACGAGACCATCGGGTCATCTTACAATGGCGGAAAGTCTGACAGATTGAATTTCTACCAGTGTTTGCACAGTGACCTTCACCTGTGATTTAAAACGATATAAAGCGAACATTGTATCTAAAAGCGACTACTGAATATTCACTGATGGGGGGCTAACATTTTCAGTTTCACCTGTTGGCGCTACTGAAACATGAGGTCAGCGTCAAAGTCAAAAATCCCAAAATTTTGCCGAATAGCCCAAGGCTATGGCCTCTGTTTCATTGAGAATATTCGAATAACATTATGTTGAATATTTGAAGAAGAAGATATAGCAAAGGGCCAATGACACAAAAATAAGAAGTATATTCTACCTCATATTTCAGTGGCGCGGTCTGGTGGACAATTTTGGCATACGAATCGTGTTTTTTGCGTTATTCATTAATTCAAGCATGCCTTCACATTGTGCTATGCAGGGAGAGACGAAGGAATATGATTTTCCAGGTAAATGGTAATCTCACATAGTTATCATTATGGAATAATGTCATTCCTTATTAAAATTCCTTCAGCCACTTCTGTGATAGAAGCTAATACTGCTAATAGATTGAAAATGTCTACAACACACACGATCATATTTTGTCAGCATGTCAGACCAGTCCTCCCGTTTGATTGCATAAATCCAATCTTCTTGCATTATTTAAGAAATTTCACGTGTATTTCTAATAGCTCCTATTGCAGAAGGAATTCCGAGGAGAAATCAGAGAAATTATCAAATTTCAAAAATGAAAACTATATGTGAGTGACTATAGTAGGTACTTACTTTTAGATCATAATGTAACAACAGGATTTCTTCGTCTTCTGCTGCAGTTTTTGTGCATTGTACAACAGCACAATGTGATGGCATGAGCGAATTAATGAATAGCCGAAAAATACGATTCGTATGCCAAAATGATTGTGAAAAACTATTTCAATCACTTGTAAACAAATGTTGTACCTCCAGGGTCGGTCATCTGACAGTTCTTGCACGCAACCCATTGACAAATATTCTATTGTAACGAATGAACTCTCAATGTAATCAGTAAACTAGCACCATTGACAAGCAGAAACATTTTGGGTCAATGAACAAACTATACAGGATGTTTCAGAGTTGTGATGACAAAAGCTTAAAGGAGATTCCTTTCAACAAAATATGAGAAAAGTTTTTTTTTTTATTAGTTTTTTATCAATATTTTGAAAACATTTCTGCCGATTTGAATTAAATTTGTATGGTTTATTTACACAATTATCAGACATTTACTGGACCAATTAGATTTGATCTCGAACTTCCAGGGGCGTACCCATCGGGCAAGGCTGTCTCATGCTATTTTGTCGTATCTTGCTTCGTTTTCGAGAATAACGGACAATACTTTACCTTGGCATATCTCTGAACTCCAAGAGGAATAATAAAAATGCTAGATATTATTCAAAAATGTATTGCACATTATTATTTATGAAAACAAGATCCGCTTTCCAATTGAAAATTTGTTACCCCCGAAATGAATCGGTACTTACCTACACTTGGACTGAACCAGGATGTTGTAATTGGAACATAATTTATATCATAGTTGTTTTAGTGACATTTCATTGACGGATTTACTGTCAAATTGGCTCGAAAGAATTTGATTTTTTTTGTAGTATTTTTATGATGGAAAAACTTGTGGATTATATGATTTCGGTAGGTGTTTTGTCTCATCTCGCATATTTGGATTCAATTACTCACAGGAAATGATGCTGAAGCAAAATGAAACACTAAGTATTTCCCAGAGATACATTCCACTCATTGTTTCTCATTAGAATTTGATGAGGTTAAGCAAATACACCAGTTATTTATGATATACTTTCGTTTTCAACAAAACCAAAAATAATAATTTCAAAAGACAAACATACATCTGACGCATCTGACGACACTCTTTTGCTATGACACATACCTGACTATTTTTGAGTTTGTTACCATATTTTAAGAGCTGGCATTGGTCAGTTCGAGTGCTCCAAGCTCTTTGTAATTGGAACGCTGTTGATCAGTTCAAGATCTACTCGGATTTACTCGGTGGTACTCGCAGTGACAATAGAAAAGCGGCTAAGATACATAAATTACAATACCCTAGCTTCAGCCTCACTCGGAAACGAAGCATTTTCTGACCAATGTTCATATGAACTTTTTTTATATTTTGTTGAGAGGAATCACCCCTAGGCTTTTGTCACCACAACTCTACTATACCTCTCGTCGAATAATTAGGTTTTCATTCAGAGCGGTAATGCATCAACTATTTGATACAAGTTTGAGGATATGATTCAAGAAACATCTGCATTACATAGATCCTTGAAAGTAGGGTCCCTTGATGTAAATTGACGTATTCATCATCTTAACAGGGTACGGACAGAACATAGCTTCTTTCTCTTTTAATGATCTAGTGACTTTGGTTTTGTCTATTGGCGTCCCTGACATAGCATTGCTGTCACGTCACATTCATAGGCGTTAAAGGGAATCTTACGAAATTTCAATCAGTACTTAGTTTTGGGAAGATGGTAAAATGTGCTGCGTTAGGCTGTATCAGTTCAACGGCAAATTTGAATTTGTCAGCTTTTCAACAAATCAAATAAACTTAGAACATGGGTGAAAAGACCAAATTGGGAAAATTGGTAAATACATAAGCAAAATAGGCGAGGTAAAACTAATACAAAATCACATACAGGGTGTAAATTTGAAAACTTTCAATGCGAATATCTCGCGAAATAAAAAAGTTAGAAAAACGCCGCTTGGCACAAATGCTAAAGTGTTAGGTAGAACTAGAACCACCATATTTCAGTGAAGGGATGAGTCACCCTGTCAGCGCGACACACCCCAACTTTGAGGCACTACCTCTTTTGTGATACCTCAAATGAACGGTCTCAGTCAGTAGTATTCACCTGTACAAGACTTTTTTTCCACCCACTACAGGGTGTACGAAAAACATAAAGTCGACTAAATTTAAAAACTTTCAATGCGAATATCTCAATAAATTGAAAAGTTAGGAAAACGCCGTTTGGCACAAATGCTACAGGGTTAGGGGGAACTAGAACCACCATACTTCAGTAAAGGGATGAGTCACCCGGTCGGCGCGACACACTCCATCTTTGAAATGTCAAATGGCACTACCTCTTCTGTGATACCTCAAATGAACGGTCTCAGTCAGTAGTATTCACCTGCACAAGACTTATTTTCCACCCACTACAGGGTGAACGGAAAACATAAAGTCGAATAAAATAAAATGCAGAATGCCGATATATTCCAAAAGATGTGTTCCAAAATGTTAGAATGGCATTTGAATATCGATTATACTATTGCTTACAACAGAATGGAATGCATTTAGAACATCTGATCAAATAAAATATCCTTTTAACACAATTCATTTTATTTCATTTGACTTTATATTTTTCGTAGTGGGTGGAAAAAAAGTCTTGTACAGGTGAATACTACTGACTGAGACTGTTTATTTGAGGCATCACAAAGAGGTAGTGCCATTTGACATTTCAAAGTTGGGGTGTGTCGCGCCGACGGGGTGACTCATCCCTTGACCGAAATATGGTGGTTCTAGTTCCCCTTAACTCTTTAGCATTTTTGCCAAACGGCGTTTCTCTAACTTTGTTCTTTCGCGAGATATTCGCATTGGAAGTTTTCAAATTTACACCCTGTATATACATTTTCATTGTGCCGAATTATCCACTCAACAAGTTTTTGAATGCATTTTAGTAGAAAACAGTATCGATTAAAACGGAAGTTTAGAAGCAGAGGCATATGCCCTACCATTCAAAAAATTATATCTTTAAAAAACTGCAAAAATGAATATATAAATATACAGCACACATGACAACATATGAGCACATTAGTTCAAATACCTACATCAAGGTTTTCATCATTTCTCAACCATAATAAAAAGTCATCAAGAAATCAAGTCATTTAATAAATTTGGTAAAACAAATCAAACTTTCAGAAAAATGTATGCTCACTGCCTGACAAAGATTATGCTGTAGTTGAAAAATCAAAAACTCAAAAATTATTGATCATCATTGGGATATAATATGTAGATATTTTATGTAGAGTTGAATCAGGAATTCCATGTGGAAATTACGTATGATACGACAATGTCCTCAATATAACCTAAAAAACAACAAATGCCAGAAATCTAGTGTTTATTCCCAGAATTGAATGAGGAATTGAAGGAGACGAGGATCTGTCCGTTTGAACCAACAAATTATTTATGTAAAATAAGTAACTGTAACACTTTTATTTGATGAAATATTTAGAATTGAAACTATGAGGATTATAAAAAAAATAAAAGATTGCAATAATTCAACAAGCAATTATTGAATTCATGATGATCACCGACCTAGCTAATATAACTTATTCCACCTGCACTCATGCTGCTCTTTTTGAATACAATGAATTACTTAATAATATAAACAATTGTGTGAAGGTAATCAAATTCAAATTTGAACTCAAAAAAGTCATGATTTATACACCAAATAGAAGAATTAATGAACGTATTTGGTCTTTGATTTTTAAATATTTTATTGTTAATGGATTTGTTATTATTGTGATTATTAATATTCTAAACTACTTCCTCAAAGCAGAAATTATTTTAGAATGGAACTTGTTTCCGATGAGACCTTTATATAATAACATTTGCTTACCTTTGGCCCATTCAGGTGTAGTGTAGTCCGCCCCATAATCTGAACAATCTGAATCATAACAGTCGTCTGTAGGCAATAATGGCGGTTTGCTGACCATGTATACAGGCAGTCCGTGCTGTTTCGCTTTATGCGATTTCAATTTCTCTTCTTTCTTGGCAGCTGCTCTCGCATCTCTCTCTGCAGCTTCTTTCGCATCTCTAGAAAATAGGCAGTCTCAATGGCTGATAAAAAACTTGATAGAATAAGGCATAGCGGAGATGGTAATTAGTTAGAAAGAGTAGCTTTATTTTCCTTATTTATTCAGGAATTCCATATGGAATTTACGTATGATACGCCAGTGCCCTCAATATAACCTAAAAAACAACGAATGTCAAGAATCTAGTGTTTATCCCCAGAATTGAATAAGGATGGAACTGTTTCACAAACACTTTAGAGTGAGAGGAGACGAGGATCTGTCCGTACCCTGTTAAGGTGACTTTAACGTCAATTTCCATCAAGGGACCCTAACTTTCGCTAACACAGTAGCTTCGTCAGGTGATATACTGGTACTGTGTTAGCAAAAGTGTGTTTGAGAATTTTGTGGAAATCTTATCGTTTGTGAAGTTTTTAACATAATTGTCAGAAATTCACTCTACTCATAATTATAAGCTTATTAGTTATTATGAGGTACAGAGTGTCCCACTTAAATGTGTCACCCCCTTTTATCCTCGTAATTCTCAACATAGTTTGGTTATTCGAAAACTTATCTGGCTCATCTTCAATAACAAACGAGAAACCTGTCAGTCTCAACCAGAAGGGGATGCACTATACTTTGACATTTGACTATTTTCGACCATTATAACGAGACTTTAGCTCGATTTGTGATTTCAAAACCATCCAGAAAATTTCGATAATGATGAAAAAAGCATAACTGAGAATCATGAAAAAAACAAAAAGAAAAATAATTTCCACCAGCCCATTACATAACATTTGAATAACTGTAACGCCACTCAGTATACATCAGAATCAGTTCAAAAAATTCAACGTAAATGGCACTAGGTTGTCGTTACTGTCCGTAATTAGATAGTTTTTCATTTTGCCTACTTTACAAGACTTGACTCACCTCTCTTCTTGGAGTTTAATAAGTTGGGCTTTCTCCTTTGCAACGAGTCTCTTCTTTTCTGCTTCTTCCCTCTGTTTCTGCATTTTTTCTTGTTTCTCAGCAATAGCTTGTTTATATTTCTCCTCATCCTTACGTTGTTGTTCCTCTAATTGCTTCTGTTTGTCCTTTTCCAAGAGTTCTCTCTGTTGTTGGGCCTTGAGTAACAACAAAACAAATCTACTATCAGGTATATCAAATATGTTACAATTTGTCCAGTAAAAAAAAAAGCAAAAAAAAAACAATTATTTGTTCGTAATTGTCTACTTCAAGCATTAACATGATGTTGACCTCTTCATTGAACTAGACAATATAAAGAAAAAACAAAATAACACTAAGTCGGTCGACCACAAAGTTTTATTACAAAAATTGACTATTTGTGACTAGTTTCGGCTCAAACAGCCATCTTCAGACACAATACACACTACCTGAAAAGATATTTAGTTTACAAAGAGAATAAGATATTGAGAAACAAACATACCTATAAGGCCATGTGGAAATCACATCATAAAATACAATTTGAAATATTGAAGAGCCGTGGTCATTGCCAAAAATCAGTCCGGTAAAGGAATGTTAATACAAAAAGTCAATTTTTGTAATGAAACTTTGTGGTCAGCCGACTTAGTGTTATTGTTTTTTCTTTGAAAAAATCTGGACCACTTTGAGAAGGAGGGATGGTTTCCATGCTGCTAGTTCTACACTCGGACAAAAAAGATTCAATCATGCAGCCTTATCAGAGTTCAATAAACCACCAGATAAAATTAAAAACTGTAGAAATATAGGTACATTTAAAAAGAAAGTAAAACTGATAATTTCTGAGAGAAATGTTTAAAATTTATCAGTAAGTTATGTCCTTGACTAGAATTCTTTTCTTTGTTCATTGATTATTTTGTTATATTGTGATTTATTGTGATATCCTGATTTATTATGATTTATTATTCATGTTCACTTCTACTCATGTTTGTGTAGTAGTTCATAAATATTATTTTATAATTATGTTCTTCCTCATACCAGAACTTGTTCTGACTGGAAGATATGTTTGATAAACAAAAAATAAATTAATTAATACTAGTAGGATCATCAGCTCATCGTTTGTTGTGTTGACGTTTCATTGATATTTTTTTATACTGCATTAATCATCTATATTATATTCCAGTTAAGAATAAAGTAGTGAACCAATAAACCTTATAATTACAAATATCTGAGAACGTTTACAAAGTTCAGTGGCGAACCAATTATACTTTCAGGGTTGTCCCTAAAAGGTCTTTACAAAAACCTACATATTCTTCTTAGCTTTTTCTATAAAAAAAAACAGTAGATCGTAGTGTGGAATAGATCTTGAGTCAACGCTTGCTGAAGCCGGCATCCATGATGGCATGCCTGAGCCAGCAAGACAGGTTACTTCCTTTTCGAAATAACAGTGTCATTCACGATATACACACATGTCATTTCGTTTAACGATTTTCGCTTCTACCGCGCAATGACGTCATGCGGGTAGCATTTAATGAAATGGCAGTTTGAATTGAAGGTTGAATCTTGTTTTGATGATCTTTCGTTGATTTCTTGTTTGCTAATATTCTACACTAAACTGTGGAATAGCATCATTTTATTGTTTTCAAGTAATTTTAATCACACAATTTCCGCCGTCAGTAAAAATTTCTGGGGGGGGGGAGCGATTTTTTGTATCGAAAGCATTGCATCAAATTGAAATTATTAAGTGTGGTTTGAAAATATTACGAAAAATAAATGAAGTATGTTAAGTATACGTCAGTTGATAAGTATAAGGAACAAAATTTTGAAACTGTTGATTTGTTTGATTATGAAACGTGCCGCAGATCAGAAAGCGACATTTTTTGTTGTCTAAGGAAAAATTATTTCAAATTCAGTTTATTTTATTCACCTGGAAATTTAAATCTCCTAAAGGCAATAACAATAGGTCGTAACTTAGCAACTCGCTTGGCTTTTTGACAAGAGGTTTCAATCATCTCACCACCCAACCACATTCATCCCCAGATAAAGAGTTTTCATATGAAATTTGACATTTATTGATTAAATGGAAAAATCGTGGATAAATGCTTGCCACATGGCAGGTTAGCAAAGAAAAAAGACATAATGGCTTGCCAAATGAAACACAACGCAAAACAACACTTGAAAAAAACAGTACTCACATCACAACGTCTTGCATGGGGTTGACCAGCAGGATTGAAGTCGGGGAGACGGCGAACATTTTTTTATTGATAATTACTAATGACTTGTATTAATAATAATGATGCCTTATTCACTCGGGTACTATTTATATTCGGAATCGATGCTAGGTTTGCAATTTTCCGCGATGGGAATGGCCATTACCTTTCGATATTGCTTACCTAGGTATTATCGCACGGTAACCGGTTTTTGCAAATTCTACAGGAGCTGACGTCGACGAACTCCGCTGACCTGATCGAAATTACACTGTACTGGATGTTTGAATTTGGAAAAGTTATGTTGAGCAATCTACTGTGGTATCATGATGTAACTAACCTTCAACTGTTTCTCCTCTCTCTTCCTCTTCTTCTCCTCCGCTTGCGCCGCCAGCAGGGCCTCTCGCTTCTTCAACGCCTCACGCTCCTTCTCCTGTCGCCGTTTCTCCCTCTCCCTGAATTCCGCCTGCGACGCTTTGAGCACGCTGACGGATTTCGCCGAGAGGGCGCTGTCGCCGCTCGTGGATGTGTCCAGCTTGTTGCCGGGATAGAGTTTGTTGATCTTGCTGGTGCTGCACGTTTTCGGCATGAACCTCGAGGTGAACGGCGTTACGAGCTTGGATTTAGGACGGCCGGTGGACGTTTTCGTCTCCGATTTAGGATTGCCTTTCGCGTTTTGGGCCTCACTATCCATGATAATGAGAATAATGTAGATGATATACAGAGAAGTGCACAAAAATAGTATATTATACACCAAGGGTGATAAGTGAGCTATACAGGGTGAGTCAGAAAAAGACCGACAAACTTCGTACACGGATTCCTCACCTCACTTTGAGTTAAGTTAAGATTTCTCTAAAATTCTCCAGAACCCCTGTAGCAAAAAATATGAAACTCGGTATACGGATCCAGATTAATCAGGGTAATTACAAAGAGTTTTCATTTCTCAATTTTGTAAGCCAGTGGCGTAGTTAGGGTCGTATATCTCCACATTTTCCGTCATGCTTTTCCTTAGACTGATGAATTGTCAAATTGATGTATGACATCAGTTAGTCATCAATACCTAACCTCACATTGATGGCATTGCGCATGCCTAAGTGTAGTAGGGGTTTCCAAGATATTTGCAAAAAACTGAAGATATTTCTTGAGGTGGAGACCCCATTCGCTGCGTGCCATAATCCCCACATGAAGTAATATTGAAGTTGAGGTCCAGAGGGACTCCTGTAGAACAATGTATTTGTATTTGTTCCTGCAACGCAGTTCAATCTGGGAATTGTCAACATGGTGTAGTGTTCTTTTATATGTCAATTGATTTGCTCGTCATAATTAGTTTCAATTGTTTGAACTATTATCTCCAATTCTTCACCTGTTCACTGTTCACTAAACTAATAAAAATGTAATAATGTAAAAAAATTGACCAACTCAACCATCATCACTACCAACAGTGCCAACACTTTATGTCATGTTTGACTACAGCTACAGCAATGTAGTCTATGCACTTTATCCATAGACAACAGTTTGTTTTCCCCCAGTTTGAAGTTCGTATTATGTAACCTAGATGTCGCCCACTTCGTGGGCGTACACCAGAGGTTTATTTCATCAATATATGAATCATACTTTTGATCACGAGCCACTAGATGAAGAAACGTAATCAAGATTCTGGCGTAATTAGCGGCAAATAATTGAAATAATCGAGGTCAAATACGTACCCCTGCTGCATTGCAGCAGCCTCAAGTTTCTCAAACGCCTCGACCTTTTTCTTGAGAGGCGTCTTATCGAACGGACTAAATATTTCCTTAGTTTGCTTCTTCGATTTCGGCCTGGGAGGAGTTCTCACTCCATTTTCCTTCACCACCTCTTTGTTATCACTTGGTTGCACCACTTTGGGCTTCTCTATCACCACGGTTTGATTGAGGACAGCCGATTGGGGCTCTGATTTGGCTACGTAGGTGGCGTCAGCTTTGCTTTGGGGCTCCGTTTCATTGGTTTCCATCGTCGATACCGCATCTTCGTACTCGGTTTGCGCCGATTTGTTGTCTTCTGTATCCGAGGACGTACTGGATTTGGATTTTTTTTTTTCATTCTACAACAATAATAGTCCAAGAGTCAGCCGCGAAAAAAACTCTTCATGTTGAAAACGGGAGCTGAATCGGTCCCGAAACGTCCAAGGATAAGTGAAAATTTGATATTTTTTCTATATACCTTTATTTCTCTTCTCCAAACATTTTTCAATACAAATTGTCACTGACAAGCTAGTGAATTTTTCTTTTAGGCTCTCTGATAGGAAAATTCTTTAAAAGCAGTGACATTTTGGGGCAAATCATCTGATTTGTCCTTACTACACGTATATTGAAATAATATTCATATTTTTATTTTATAGAAACGAGGAGAGAAAATCCCAAAAAATTTGGAATAATGAATACTTCTAGAAGTTTGTAGAGAACAATTTTTATGCAACTCGTTTTTGATTATAGAGTATTGTTGGTACCCTGTCCATAATATTGAATATTCATCAGATGGTGATTACCTCAGAGTAACTAGTTGAGAAAAATGACTTATTTTGTACCTTTGTGAAGATACTTCTAGAAGTTTGTAGAGAACAATTTTTATGCAACTCGTTTTTGATTATAGAGTATTGTTCGTACCCTGTCCATAATATTGAATATTCATCAGATGGTGATTACCTCAGAGTAACTAGTTGAGAAAAATGACTTATTTTGTACCTTTGTGAAGATACTTCTAGAAGTTTGTAGAGAACAATTTTTATGCAACTCGTTCGCGAAACAATTTGGTGATCGAGAAGAAATAGTCGAGATATATTTGGCGCACTAGATACAAAAATAACTATATAAGTATTTCTAATAATTAACTATATCGGAGACTATTTTGTGAATAAATATGGTTCCGCAGTGTCAAAATTGTGAAGAAAGTAAGGAACCAGAGATTATAGACGCCATCTATGGTTATCAAGTGATTACTTACCTTCATAGCTTCCAATTCCTCAGAATGCGACCTATTCCTCTTGTTTTGTCTGAGAGTCTTGGTACGAGTGCTTCGTACTTTCTTAATTTCTGGTTCAGAAGTTTCAACTTTTTCGTTATCAGACTGTGATTCTAATGAGGGTTTTCTCTGCCTCACTTTAGACCTAGTAGCTCTCATATTTTGTTGGACAGGTTGTTCAGGTTTGACATGAGATTTTTTTTCTGAGGATGTATCTGAATCGGTTTCCGTTATGTCAATTTTGGTAATCGTGGTATTTTGTAAAATCACATCAGATTGTTTTCCTCTTTCGAACTGAAAGAAAGAGTACTAATGATCTTTTGGTCCATTTTGTGAAGTGACATGATACAGGAACAAATATACCTGAATCACCTTCACAACATATTTATAATGAAATGGATTCAAAAGATAGAAAGAAATCAATCCATATTTTACAAACATAGAGCTAGTTTCAAACAGCTAGAGGAATTATAAACGTAAAATTTTCATTCTTATAAAATTAGAAAACAGAAACTGGATACTGGAGTTCGAATGATAGTTTGAAGCCTGTCATGTTTCGGGAAAAAATTTTTCTGGAAATTACTGGGAAGGCCCATTATGTGTTATGACAGAGTTCTATATCAAACATGATATAATATTATGACATGATATCACCATATTATTTGATCATAAGAAAACAACAATTACTAGCAATAATTTCAATTCATAAATATAAATTTAGTTCTTACAGCTCGAGTAGATCTCTTTTGAGTTTCTTCCAGTTCAGGTTTGATCTTCTTCTTCCGAGGTGGCAACTTTCTTGGAGCTGGCATATCTTCCTTCTTAATTTCTATATCGGCATCTTCAACAAAATTGTTAAATAGCAGAAAGAAAAACTCTAAGTCATCTCCACAATTATTTATTGCAATTATTATTCGCAAGGTATGGTTGTTTAAACAATCTACCTATAATACCTTTGCAATTTTGCCACTAGATGGCTCTTAGGACTAGATCATCCTCCTACCCTTCAGGGAATTCGATTGACTCCATTCATAGTAGTACCCTTCGTGAATCGGTTGTCAGCTGGCCTAGTGCAACTGATGATGCTTGGCAAAGCTGATAATCGATTCACGAAATTTACCTAAAATCTCTTAGTCTTGAGATTTTAGTTTCCTCACCATCTGTCGGTGGGACAATAAACCACTGTAAGAATTTCGGTGTTGCGATAGTCTACAGAATTGTGGCATTTTTGACATACTGGCAAGGTATGGTTGTTTAAACAATCTACTTATACATCTTTGCACTTTTGCCACTAGATAGCCTTTAAGACTAGATCGTCCTCCTATCCTTCAGGGCATTTGATTGATTCCTCGTCGAGTCAACAAAGAACTTTACGCAACCGGTCCTAAACCTGCTTACAAAAGGGAGTAAAATCAAATACCAACCTGTAAGTGTTGCTTCAGAGGTGCAAGTACCATGAGAACTTGAAGGGGGCATAATGGTTGAAATCTTTTCCTTTTTAACCTTCACGGTTTCTATCACAAGTGTTTCTGAATTCTCCGACACGGATGGTTTCTTTTGTCGTGTTCTCCTTCCTTTTGGAGAGATTTCTTAAAAAAAAAAGGATGGTTCACTACTTGTGCTTGGTACAGATGACAGCATTTTGCATTTTAGCTTATAGCGTCTCGGATTCGGATTGGTCACAATGGGGATGTTTTCTATACTGAGGTTTTTATTTCACTGTGAAGTTTGTAAAAAAATCAATACATACGTATTTTTTCTTTTTGTCGTAAGATCAGATTTTACTTCAGAAAAAAAAATTAATAAATGAGGAACTTGGCTCCTCCACCATTCCTGACGTACTTTCTGAAAATCCATATCCACACAGAGTTAAAATACGATTCCCTGTGCCAGTACGACGTTGCCGACATTGTCAGTATGTCTAGATTTTCGGAAATTGTTCTTTTAATGCATAATAACTATATCACATCAGCAATAGGATATAATGGGTTCTTCAATCCCCCTTTGTCAAGTATTATGAATAATTCCTATAGATATCTCATTGGCTGAATGAAGTTGATTACAAAGGAAGATAAATAATCATATTTTGCGATAGTATCAATAATTTTTCACTATCGTTATATTACAATACATTATTCATAACTTGTCAGTCAATTTTTTGCTAATGAATTCGTTCCTTAATAAAACGGATCTATTTCCTAGGAAAGTTGCAGATTATATCTTGCAACAGCGCCTAATATTTCGAGTCCGTCCACACCACTCAAAATACTGATAGGCACCACAAAAGGAAGGGGCCATGGGTGTCGGCTTCATTCTGTTCTGACCGATGGCAGTAAAATAGGAAGGATAGTATCATTGAATGTAGCCGATAGTGATTCATTGATTAAAATATATTTTCGTTTAGGATGAAGCTCTATTCGAGATATTTCAATACATAAATAACAAAACCATAACTTGTCCGAATGAAGCCAACTACTCTCTGCATTCCTGCTCCGAGTGCATTTGTGGTTAGGTATGTTTTTGTTTACCAGTTTTACTTCTTCTTTTATTTTTTTCATTCGTTTTTCATTCTTTAGCTATTTGTTAGCTATTCTCTAGCTATATTCTTCACCATCAGCTATTTTCAGACTAGATTCAGAATGTACGCCACAGTTCGCCGCTCCGAAAATTAGAAATTGCATTAATTTGAAGATGAAAACTACTTGGACTTTATCGGTCGCCATTCTGTACAGCGTGGACATAAAACTGGAGAGTTCCTAACTCATTTTTTGAAAATTCATCTGAAGGAAACTTCCCCATTAATGCTTGTAATAACAGAAATTTCGTATCAAGGTCAATAAGCGAAAAAAGTTCAAGCATTTGGAACATTTTATAGGAAAAAATCTTATATTCGTCCAGTATAACCCTGAAAAAGTGAATGTTAACAGTCAGCGCTTCATTATTCCCCTTTCCGCTGTGAACCAGAACTTGAAAAAAAAAGTTGTAAGCTGTCATCTGTACCCATCATTAGAAAACCTCCCCAACCATGCGTTCTGAACTTGAATATAATTGACGAATATATCAACAATAAATGGTAGGAGAGAAAAATTTCAACCACAGATTCTAGGAACAAAACTAGTTTAAAAAAAATGCATATTAACATGAGCCCAGAAATGGCCCCCTGAGGAGTTATAGCCATTTGAAAGAGGCTCGAGATGATTTTTTTATGTAAATACCCTCTGTATTGAGATAACGAAATTTCGTACATTTATATTTCATTTCATGCCCGATTTCGAAATGTTGAGAATTTTCCGAAATTTTGATCAGGGGCGTGGGAAATAGGTGAGGCTAAGGGCATTTCTTTCCCAACTTTTTTTCTATGCAATTTTCGCCAGTGTCTCCAGGATATATGAAAATATCATCATTTTTACCTAAAACTGATACACCTGTTTAGTTCCGATAGCACTCACCATTTTCAAGATAAATCGGTTTCAAAAGTCTGCTGTATAATAATAGTATATTGTGCAACAAATGGGAAAAGTGCTTTTTCCCACATGTTGCACACTATACTTTTTCCACAACTGCACTTATTCAAAGAATCCCAGAAATGTAGCTTAATGGTATTCATTTTAGAATGTAGCACTATACCACATTGAATATTGTGACCAAAGAGTAGACTCCTTTCCTAGTTTCTCAAAGTATTTCAAAAAAGTACACTTTCCGAAAAAGATTTTATTTCTGTATTGTTTTAGATTTCATAAATTCTTCGTTTATGCCAATTCATACTTATTTCTTGAAATTTCCGGAAACAAATCCAACTTTCACAGCTTCTTCCATTATCTCTCTCTGGCGGTGTATTTTTGAAAATCGCCACATCTCGGTATATACATCATATTATTTATTATGAATTATTGGAATGATATTTGATGGAGAATGCGATTTCTATCAAAAGCACTAAAGAGAACTACCCTGCAGAATTTAAAAAACTTCTTCTGACAGTTGTGTCAACTATTCAAAGCTGAACAGCAGCCAAGTTTTGGTCGATTTTTGTTGATTCTCTATGAAAATGTATGTGGTGTTGGCTGTTGGCAAAGTGCCGTGAGAAAAAATGTTTCTCACAGTACAGCAATACATGGCTTTGAAACTAAGTTAGCTATGAGAAATGCGCTACTTTTCATAGCAGTAGTAGAAAAAAATAATTGTACTTTTTCTTTATAGGGCGCCTACCATAATATTTCTCAAATTTTTATTTTTATTGTTCCTCTCATATTTTGAGTCAAACATCACAGGTAGATGTTGAAAAAAGGTATTTTCTATCGAAAAATAATTTTTGGGAAAATTTGCTACCCTATTGTAAGGAAAGAGCACTATTTTTGTTACGCAGCAGACTCTCAAAATCGATTCATCTCGAAAATGGTGAGTGCTATCCAAACTCAACAGGTGTATCATTTTTAGGTAAAAATTATATTTTCATATTTCCTGGACACACTGCCGAAAATTGGATTGAAAAAAAAGTTGGGGGAGGAAATGCCCCTAGCCCCACCTATGCCCCACGCCCCTGATCAAAATTCCAGAAAATTCAGAATATTTCCAGATCGGGCATAAAAATATATATAAATGTACAAAATTCGGTTATCTGAACACAAAGGGTTTCGGAACTATTTACATTAATCCATCATCTCGGGCTCCTCTTTAGATAGTTATAACTTCCGAGGGGGCAATTTCTGGACCCATGTTTACATCAACTTTTTTCACCATTTTTGTTTCTAGAATCTATGACTGAAATCTTCCTATTTCGGGACACCCTGTATATCCTATTAACAGAGAAAAGCTTCGACCTTTGTCTATGGTTACACTATACAGAGTAATCTTCTAAAAATGAATATTAATACAATAATTTCATGACACTTTCGAAATTTCATCCCAAAAATCACAGTGACTGTGTGCGTAAAGTGACAAAAATGCAGGCTAGTCCAATTGAAAACAGGAAGGCGTCAATAATCGAAATGGCATCAACAAATGTGAAATTTGTCGTATTTTGATCTATCGACATTCCAAAATCGTACCTTATATCATTCAAAAATGTCAATACCTTTGAGAAATGTCTCTGAAGAAACAGAACAAGTAGATTCTGAGGATGCAATTGATAATTTTTCTTGTTTAACTTTGACATTTTCAAATTGTAAAGAGTTTTCAGATATTTCTTCCAAAACGGTTGGTTTCTGTTGCCTTGTTCTTTTCTGGATGGTGGCACTACTTGCAATATTTTCCTTTTCAAATTCTAAAAAATAAGGTTAAAATTATATATAATTTTCATAACATGTATTTTCATGTTGGGTAAGCACATCAAAATAGTTATTTATCTAACAAGTGCGGAAAAGACATTTCCCGCAAGAGCTAGTACAATCTTTTTTCGGGAGTGTTTTTGTCCATATTATTTATGAAAAGAAGATATTTTTTCTACAAACGTCAAGAAATGACAAGGTTCGCGCATTGATGACAAATTGCGAAGTGAAACTTTTTTTCAGTTTTCTACGTTACCATGATACCTTGCACAAAACAATGCGCGAAGTAAAACAGTGCGAGAAGTACATACTTCGCGCATTGTATGTAAACTATATTATGAGATTTTCGTATTTAAACTTTATGGTCCTCAATCCAGCAAACATTCAAGAAATCATTTATTTCTGAATGTTTATCAATAATTTAGACCTCTTAAGTCAGTTCAATACTATTTTTGTATATTAAGCTGAGCATATTACTACTTTAGAACAGTATTTTTTTACGTTTGTGGAGAAAACGTTGTTTGCAACTCGCGCGCGCAACACTTTCATGATCGAGAACTGATTCTTTTAATGCACTAGATACAAAAATAACTATTAATAAACACGATTTTAGAATAATGCTACTAAATGACACATGACAGAATAGTTACATAGATACAAAAATCGTGCGGAAAAAATAACTTTTCAGCACTAGTACGGTGAAGTAACTGTCCCGCATAATTTTATAGATTGATCATGCGGAAGTAAAAATAGTGCTGAAAAGTGAAATTGTACGGAAAAATACAATATTCAAAACGAAAAATCGTGCGAAAAAGTTATTTTTTCGCATGCTCGTAGGAAAAATACTATCAATTGTTGGTGGTTCCAGAGGATTTTTAAATAGTACATAGATAATATTTATGTTCTATTAAAATTGTACCTATGACAATTTCTGGAATTGCAATTTTTATAAAAATGTCCACTTAGGATCATTTGTAAGCAAAATACTCAAATGTGAAATTATTTATTTATTCATTCAATCAAACGACACCACAGAATATAATAAAATTCCGAATGGTACATGAAGTTAATCTATAGGTGAAAAAAAGCATTTTAAAATCATAAAAAATGTAGTAAACAGTCAATACAACAGGAGAAAATCAGTTAGGTACCCAAAGTTTTGATTTCGTAAAATTGTTTAATATACAAGGTCATTCGTTACATACAGACAGTACACAACTAAATACTTATAAATCACAAAACTCACCCTTATCCAAGAAACTACGATCTCCAGTTTCAATGAATTTTTGCAGTGGGGCAAATATATCTTGTATTTGCTGAAATCAAATATTTTAGCTTAAGCAGGATCTAAATAATATACAGGGTGAGTCACTTTTTTGTATCAGTACTTTAACAGCTTAAAGAAGAGAACTTGGTTATGGCGCAGGGTGTGGAAAGGTGGGAAATGAGAGGTTTCCAAGTGCTTCACGGCCCACCACATCCACTATAAATACCGCTCCACTACCGACACACCCTCAGTTCTCTCGATGGAGTAGGCAAATTGAGACCTTGGAGAGAACCAGTGACGAGATCTGGGGAGTAGGCAGATTGAGACCCCGGCGTCAAGTCACATACCTTCCGTGATATTAACTGAGGAATAGGCATATTGAGACCTCAGTGAAAAATCATTCCCTATATTTTCCTATCATTTTTTTATTTCTATTTTTCAGTTCTTGAAAACGGCTCCAAAATCGGTGTCGATAAAATGAATAAATAAAAATTCTAATAATTTTAAGATGCTGTGTATCATCAACTGAATATTATTTGAGGCAAATGTTCTTTCTAATTCTTATACTGAATTTTTTGCAATATTTTGAAAGTTAATGACTGATGCCCTTTTAATAAATTGAAAATATTCCGGGAATGAAAGTCCTATAGCTCATTTTATCTATTTAATGTACTAATATCAAAATATAATATGTTTTCCCAAGTCATAATATTTAAAGATTATCATTAAAAACTAAATAAAACACTAGTGAGGTAAAATAACTTGGCATTTTATTCATCTTCTTGGATGCTATTGTTCACTAGCCAGTTTGAAATGTCTTCATAAAATGGCTGGTGTTCATCGGGCATATACATCTTAAGTTTGACGAAATCTGTCATTTTTGACGTATTTGCTTGGATCGCGTTTCCTCGTGCCTGAATTAGTTTGTTCAGTAACAGTGTCTGCATTACTCTCATTTCCGCTCGTTTTTCTATATTTCTTGCAGTAAATTATAACAAAATGATATTAGTTATTGTAATATTAATTACAATTTCCAATCCAATAGATTCGATTCAATCCTAACCTGAAAATTACAGCAAGGGGTTCAAGTCCACGTTGTCGTCGCAATTTTGTTGAAACGGCATGAGTCACTGAACTGATGCCTTTATAACAAACTCCGCATTTTTTGCGCGCCCATAACAACCTTATCAATGCAAGGACAGAGGCCGTTTTAACAGAAACGATAGTTCGATTAATGTAGATTTCAACAAAAAAATAAGCTCAAAATTGCTGGATGGGTGACTGATGACCATGAACAAATCACGATTCGTATATCAGAACCGAAGCCTCCTCGCATTTATGTTTACATGAGGTTTACGTCTTATGAGAATGTATTTTTTAAGCTGTGAAAATCCTACTACAAAATACGAACTCGAAAAATTAAGTTTTATTACAAGAAAATTATTTCTGGAATTTACCTTGAAACCCATACAGTTTGCGAAAATAAAGGAATAACTCGGGTACGACTCTCAAAAGTTTGCGTTCCCAAAGTGTGATAGGTGTACCAAATTTCAATTCATTCTTTTGGCAATTGTAGGAGGAAATTGGAAAAACACAAAAAAAAAATCCTAAACTTTGAAACCCTGTATATCGGAAACGAAGCTCCCACGCATATATGTTTACAAACAAACTGACTCACCATGTATAATTCAAATGTATTGTTCATATCTACACGTCTGGCAAGAATAATGTTTTTATAGAGAACCCGTGTGCATGGGCATTTTGACGAGGAGAAAAAGCGACGTTGTCATTCGCCACACGTGCCATACTCAAGTAGGTGGAGCAACGACGCTTTTTTCCTCTCTTTGTTGAATATACATGACTATATGCGTATTTATTTCCTTACACGGTTTCTCGACGGTTTCTGTCGAGGTTTACCTACAGGAAAATTATTATTGCCAGACGTGTCACCCTTCCCTGAATAGCGTTTGAATTACTTTTGGATAAGACAACTGCCTTAATAGTATAATTGAGAAGTACGAGTATTTTTTAGGGAAAAAGTGATGAGAAACCTTTTCTATAAATCTATTGATAGAGACGTGTATGAGAATTCAGAAGCTACAGGGACTAAGAGGATTTTTGAAGATCTGCAGCATTATAATACTGTGAAATATTATACATACGCTTTTCAGAGTAGCATCGATGTTTTCCAATGTTGCCTGCATCTTTGGAGTGATGGTACATAATTGCTCAAAAACTGACATGGTTTCAAAATGATGTTGAAAAACAGCAGACAATTTCTCTTTCTTTTCAGCTACCCAACTTCTTACACAGTGCCAGTTTCGTCAGAGCTGGAAAATAGTAGATAACGAATTTATCAGTCAGAATGGAAGAAAAAATAGAATATCATCTCAATATTCCATGCCCTTTTTTCGTTTGTAGGGGATACACTGTGGAACTCTATCTAGGGTCTGCACCCTTGAAGTTTATACAGTGTGTCCATTTAGTGCGTAATTCTTCGATATCTCGAAAGCCATAACCTATAGAGAAAAACTTTGAAGAAAAAACTTTTTCAGTTACTAAAGTTGCTCAATTCAAAATTATTTTCAACATTACTGGGTGTTTTATAAAAGCAGGGCAACTCGAAGAAGAGTTTTTTTAAATGGAACACCCAGTATTGTTCATTCGGAATTAATTCCGTCGAGGTTCACCTTCACATCGCTGTGAAAAAAATTTAAATCGGTTGCGGCGTTGCCAAGTTACAAGTGATGAATCTATTTTTACCATTATTGAAGAGTCATGTTGAATTGGGCATGGTATATTCATTTATTCAGATTTTGAAAATATTTTTGGCCTACGGTAGGAGCAAGGACCAACGTATACCAATCCAGTAATTTTGCGACATGTTCTTCAACAAGGTGCTCAATTTTGCATTCAGAATTTTGCAAGATTCAGATGACGTTCATCAGAATTTTTCAAATGGAACACCCTGTATTTTTATTCAAAAATTAATTTCGACATCTTTCGCCTTTTTATCGCTGGAAAACAAATAATAATCGGTTGCGGCGTTGTCAAGTTATGGTTGATTTCCTTATTTTTACTACTATTTCGGGGTAATTTGTACGTCATATAGTTCTTTCATTTATTTGTATTGTGGAAATATTGCGTTGCTACGGTATAATCAAATTTATTCATTGACCATTCATATATTTTTTTACAAAAGGAACATTTATACAGGCTCTCCAAGTTTGAATTTTGTTCAAAATATTTGTGTAATGACCTGTCAAACATCGCTACAATCAAATATATCTTGGATTGATTCGACATTCTGCTGAATTTCCTCCCAAAAGCCGCGTAGTAGAGACATATTGTTTGTATCATTATGTTTACCTTCTTCAAGGTAAATGAAGATTTGGATTGTGAGAATAACGACAATAAAAATGGCCCAAATTTCAAAAAAATTTCCTAATTTTCGTAATCCGCATCTTCATTGTTTGTATTGTAGAAGTTATTTCACAGACAGGCGTTGCTTTTGGCATGTTTGTTTGTTTCACAAATCATTTGAATCATAAGTAGCAAAATTACGGAATATTTCAAATTTGGACGATGCACATATCACAAAAATACCTGAATGATCTATGTAGAACCCCGAATGTCATGTGGCAAGCAATTGTTCTAAAAATTTGTTCAAAATGCAATATTCCCACACTCAAATCAAATTGAGGAACCATCAGGACGAACAAATTACCCCGAAATAGTAGTAAAAATAAGGAAATTACTCATAACTTGAAAACGCCGCAATCGATTTTGATTTTTTCTTCTGCGATGAAAAGGCGAATGATGTCGAAATGAATCCGTGATGAAAAATACAGGGTGTTCCATTTGAAAATTTCTTATGATCGTTGTCTGAATCTTACAATATTCAGAATGTAAATTTTAGCACCCTGTAGAGGATTATCTCGCAAGATTACTGGATTGGTATACGTGAGACCTTGCTACTACTGTATGCCAAAAATATTTTCTAAATTTCAATAAATAAATATACCATACCCAATTGAACATGACCCTTCAATAGTAGAAAAAATGGGTTTATCAATTATAACTTGGCAACGCCGCAACCAAATTCAATTTTTGTTACAGCGATGTAGAGCTGAACTTGAGCGGAATAAATTTCGAATGAACAATACTGGGTGTTCCATTTGAAAAAACTCGTCTTCGAGTTGCCCCGCTTTTATGAAACACCCAGTATCGTTAGAAATATTTTCGAAATGAGCAACTTTAGTAACTGAAGAAGTTTTTTCCCCAAAGTTTTTCTCTATAGGTTATGGCTTTCGAGATATCGAAGAATTACGCACTAAATGGACACACTGTACTTGTGAAATAAAGAATCCCTCGTGTATATGCCATAAATCATTACCTTTTACGAACTGCATCAAATACACGAAAAACTAGTAATACATGTATTTACCGTGTTGATGTGTATATGCGTACACTTCAAGTAGTCATTAGGTCTGTTCGAAAACCCTCCTAAAAGTGCGGTGTAATGTATTGAGGTGTTCAGAGGAAGAAGTGCAGTGTAGAGGGAGTGTAGAGTGTGGAAGTGAAATAATAAGATTAATATTTTTGGACGATTCGGATGAGACATCAGAATCTGATTTGGGGATGAGGATTTGGTCGAGAGGCAAAGAAAAATGTGGGGTCACCAGCATATTAAACAATTAGAAGAATTCGACGACGATGATTTCATAATGCACTATCGTTTGAATACAAATATAGTGAATCAATTGATACTAATAACTCAAGTTGTTTAGACCTTCTTTATAGATAATCTGAATTTTAATAACGAGATTAACAAGTAAGGATATTTATTAAAAATATCAAGAGTCAATCTGACATCCTCACAAATATACAAGAACCTCTTTATAAGCAATATATTTCACATCTCTTCAATGTTCTTCGATGTTGTGCAAAAATCCTCGAGCCATTTAGAGGGCATTCTTGTTCTTCCAGACTTTCTATTAAGCTGCATAGTTTTTCAACATTGAAATCTTGTTCCATTCCATTTTCGTTCACATCATCAGAATCTTCATTTACCTCTTCTTAATTCTGTTGCTTTTTTTCAATTGACTTGGCCGTTACTTGATGGAAATGAATCCATGGCAAATGAAAAAAACTTCACAAACGAATAACATTTCCACAAAATTCTCAATCACACGACATGTTTCGATAACACAGTAGCTTCATCAGGTGTAATACTGGTACAATGAACTAATTTTGTCTTTCCCTATAGGACATTCATGAGTGGATCCATCAAACCTATTTTCTTCTGCTTTTCGCAAGTCGATCCGACTTCGTTTGCTCACCGAATTACCCGCACCCGAAAAAATCATCTAAGAAAAATTCAAAAACACATCAAGTGAAAATTAACATCAATTACTAATCTGACATCGCCGCTTCACAAAAACTCGGATTTTTGTTCCGTGCGAAAAGCTACTTTACACCTCAACAACTTCTCATGATCCACAAAGCCTGTTCTAGAATACTGTTCCCACATATGGGGTTCAGCACCAAAACATACGCTGATGCTCTTAGATTCCATCCAGAGAATAGCCATTTGCCTGGTGGGTGACGCTACACTGACTCACTCTTTGACATCATTGGAACACCGTAGAAAGGTCGGCGACCTTTCACTTTTCTATCGATACTTCCACGGGAAATGTTCTTCGGAAATCTCTGCTATCACCCCTTCACTAGCAATACCAGTCAGACGAACTAGACAAGCCCAGTCAGCACATCCTTTCGTTGTCAACCTCGAAAGATGTCGAACAGCACTTTATCAAAACTCCTTCATCCATAGAACGGCTAGGCTCTGGAATTCATTGCCTGGGGAAGTATTCCCAACAACATATAATCTCCAGAAGTTCAAAAAAAATTCCAATACCTACCTCCTGTCCCTATCCTCCCTAGGAACGCACGATATTCCTTGAACATTATAGGGATTTCCTTTCGTGCGCTCCAAGCGATAAAAAAGAATTGGGTCTACACAGGGGTCCACCGTTAAAATCGCACACTACACTTTTCACATCACCTCCTGGCGCATTGTAAATATTGTTATTGTTACTCTGTTTACACTGCACTATAATACACTGATGTATTCGGACAGCGCGATTTGACGTGATTCTCATGCACTAGGTTTTACGAACACAGTGTAATACTTCAGTGTAAAAGTGTAATGCAGTGTGAGGGTTTACGAACAGACCTACTGATTACACGATCACGAAACCTCCTTCAGCCTATAAGTGATGTGTAGGCTTTGTCATTGACTCCACCTTGAGCGGCGAACATGTTCAAGTTGTGATAGATGACAAAATATGATGAAATATATTTTACTAGCGAAAACACAAACTAAACTGCACGTTTTCATATGTAGGTACTCACCTGTGACGTGTGTGAGAGAGTGTATATTTCTTTGCTATTCACTGACAGTTAACATCGAGAGACGATCAATCAACATAGGTATGCACGGGTATCTAGAAAATGAAATGCTGAAAAATGAATATAAACAAACTGAAAACAAAATGTACTCAGTTCTGTGGCATTGAAGAATAAAGAATAACCACAGTGTACTTTGTGCTGCATAAATGTGTAATATAGTAGCGACTACATTGAACAAAACACATTCCACAATTTGGTTGGTACATACTAACACATTGCATATTGAATTTGTCATTCATCACGATAGAATTCCAGATAAATACCAAATCTTACCTAACATATTTTATAGTGAGTATGCTGGTTTACCGATATCAGATCTCTAATTTATTGGAGGCGAAATATACAATGTTGAATTTCTTATATTATGTTCAAGACATTTCCAATTGGAAATTTGAAAACGAAAACTCGTAACTTGTAATATAACGACCATCTGCTGATGAGATGTGAAATTTCCTTGGACATATTTTATTGTCTTATTCTCATTGATAAAGCATAAATATTTCTTCAATTTCAAATATAGGCTGTTTCAAAACTCAGTATCAAGATTCCAAGGATTTATTATATTATTAAGTCAAAATAATACTTTTTTTTTCTATAAGTATGTGAGATTTTTCATTTTCCAACACCTTTTATGAAAAGTAAAGGTTTGTTCGGTTTGTTATTCTGTGGGTTATGTTTGGAAACTTATCATGAAGATAAATATGTAGCGTTTTTTGTTTTAATTGTGATAATAGGTTCCCCCCTTATGTTAAAAAATTCGAATCACAAA